ACACACACACACACACACACACACACACACACACACACACACACACAGACTATTTGAAACTGACTCCACATCTCTGGAGTTGCCACAAACAGTTTTCAGCTGTTATTTATTTGTTTGGATATTGAGCTCTAAGTGGGACAGTACATTGGGATGAATCCATAGCTTTGACCTGGGCTGTGGAGATACACAGATGCAGTTCGTCGTCGTATGTATAACACCTTGGGGAATGATCTTTTTGCTCATCACTGACACTTATCGTCTCTTTATTAACAGGCAGACGTCCGCAGAGAGTTCAGCCAGTGGAAGCTTGCCCAGCGGCCAGCATGTGGTCTACGAAGCCATCTGTGGTAGAACAGGTGGGTCTGATGCTGCAGTCCTGCACACGCTTAGTACCGAGCTGTAACTTGGCCTGTTGGTGCTGTAGTCCTCTGGCAGGGGGGGGAAGTTATGCCCTTTCTATGCCAGTGTCCGTGATTACAGCCAGGCATAGTGGACATTCCCCATGGAGGACTGATAAACACCACTGGATATTTTTAGCCAGCTCCTGCCTGCACACTGGTGTGTAGCATTATGTAAATGTAGTCTGCACACTATATTGTCATAATGATAAATAAAGTACAAACTTTAATTACAACCTTGTTGCAATAGTACAAGTGAGGTTTTATTGGCTATTATATCATAAGACTTGTGTCTTAAGTTTATGACAGAAGCAGCCAGATCTGAATGCGCATAAACAAATTCTCCAGTGCTGTAATTTGCCATTTGATCATCATTTCTTTTTTTAATTAAGAGTAGAGGTCAGATTACTGCAGAAAGATAAAGAGGCAGAGCAGTGATGACATCTTTTTTTTGTAATGAGATCCAGTGATGGGAACAGTTTGAGCATTCCCATCTGTTGGTCATTCCTACGCAGTCGTAATCACTGTCTGTCCGCCAAACGTGCTGTCCAGTTGTACCCCAGAAATCACAGAAAGAGAATGAAAAATCGAGCTCAGTCTTTGCTAAGTGTATTATGAGTAATGCACTGCAATTGTGGTTGCATGCACTCACGTGTGCTCTGTCATCCTGCCCTATTTCCACAACTCTTTCCATCCTGAGCGAAGTGTTGAGCTTATTGCAGTAACAGTGATATTAAGCAGTTTGCGCTGATGCACACATCTGTTTGCCTGATCAAGAGCTTTTTTTCCATAGACCCACTATACATTAGCATTAGCAAATCGTACCATTCATCACATCACGTGTGTGACCCAGAAATCAGCTTGTCGGAAAAACACAGTAGCTGTGCACCACCCAGTACCCCCCCAAAAAAAGAATTCAGTGAGTGTGTCTGTGACCAGAACACTTCTTTTCGTTCTTCGTCTTCCCCCCAAACTATGGAGGCTGGCTTAAGTTAACAAACATCTTATAAACTCATCAATTACTGTAACTGGATCCATTGGGAGAAGCTTCTGAATCTCATGAATGCATTTTTTCCGTCGTTCCGGGCTTAAAGGGCTGGGGAGATGCTTCGCTCTCAACAAAAAAACAGAAAAATCACAGTACCGAAACCAGCTAGCAAGGCAGGTTAAACCGTGCTTTTTAGAATGGGACTGGGAGTTGAACAGAGACTCAGTGGAGTGTGTTGGAGGGGGGGGAGGGTGTTATTGTGGAGCTTAGGAGTGCGTCAGGTCTTTCTGCCTGCCCAGTGTACCTTTGTAGCGAGATGACTGAGCTCCCCTGATTGACTCTGACAGGGAGTTAGAGCAGGTCCAAACGGAGAGCATTCTCTATGATCAGCTGTCAACCGCCATTAATCACACCCTCCCTTTATCTCTCTCTCTTGTGCGCTCTCTTAATCTCTTCCTCTCTTTGCTCATACAACTCTCCCTTTATCCTCTGAAAACTGTTCCTGCTCCCTCACCCCATTCCCCTTTTTTCCTTCCCCACTTCTTCTGTGTTCATTTTTGACATGAGATGAAGGGAGGGTTTTGATGAGGACCTATCATAGCTTACAAACCTAGATTATATCGACCACATGTGTTTTACAATGCTTCCCTTGAAGTTCTCATGGCTCCACAGCTGGTGACTGGGGAGATTTATTGCTTTCAGTTTAAGAAGGAAATGAATGCTGCACTTGTGCCATTTTAATGGGAGTCCGATCATGTCAGTACGGATAGCTTAGGCCTCTCTCTATCAAAATACGACTGTATGGTGCCCTGTTGAGAAAGGAAGGTAGTTATTGGCCGTCATCCACTTTTCATATGTATTATTTAAGTTGTTGGATGTTTGATTCGAAGCGATACTGTTGAATATTTGTGGGAGGTAGCTGATTATACTGATTATACTGAGCCACTTGTTAGACCGACTGTTGACACCATTTCTTCCGTCATTGTTAGTTCCAAGCGTCATCTGGAGAAGGACATGCTAGAGACAGTATTGTCCCTTTATCTTTTCTCTTGCCGAGCCGGAGGAAGCTGCTTCCAGCGGTCATGTCATCGGATTGGAAGTCAGGGAGATGTTTTCGTTTTCCAGTTAGTCAGGCCCCACGATGTAAAAGAGCACCAAAATAAACAGTGTGCAGAGAGGGAATGAAAGGAAATACTGTTTGGGAGCACAAACACGGCAGCTCTAACTGTACTTGGAATGCCCTTTTCTACTGGATGCCTGGCCCTGAGCCAGCAGATAGGATGAGTAGCTGAGAATGAAGTGACAATCAGACACTAGGCTAAGCCCTGAGATGACAGAGCAGATCCGCTGGTGACCACCTTGACCAGAAGTTTAACAGATCAACAAAACATTCACCGGGAGGGTTCTAGTGCACTCTCTAGAAGTAAGACTCTTTCAGGTTTGACCTTAACATTTTTGTTTGTGCTGTAGGGAAACCTCGTGCTGCCGTTCGATCTCTTTTTATTCATTTTACTTTCATCTGTTGCTTCCCAAGGTCTTTCTGTGCACCGCAATCTGTTCCAGGGCCGGGAGCCTGGTCACAGATGACATGAAAGCGACCAGCGGCACGTCCTGCCCCTCTGCTGGCCTGACAGGTGTCTCTGCATGTAACTACATCCTCACAGAGGTGTATTCTGGGAAAGGACAACAGCAACAGATGGAAGTATCCGAGACATCAAACAGGGTGCTATTCATTTCTCCATGATACAGCCACGGACTTGCAAGAGGATAGTCTTCCAGGCCAGGAATGCCCAGCTTTCTATTATTTGCTCAGCCCAACATTAGTTGGCCTTTTCAGCTCCTTCCCACCCTCCCCTCACCCCCCCTGGCTACTCTCACACTTCCCAACAGTTGTCCGCCCTCATTCTCTCCATGCTACTGATACCGCAGAGAGATTTCACTGACAGATAGCCTTCAGCAGATGGTTCTTCAATACCCCAGTGGCATTTCAACCTTTTCTTCTCTGCTCATGCAGTAGCATGCGCACAGCTCGCCATTCGTGGAGATTTTATCTTCCTAGAAGGTTATACAAACAGACAAGCATGCAGAGAAGCTTCTTTCACAAGAAGACTCTTGGCATTAGACGCTCCAACTCCAGGTCCTTGTTTGAAAACAAGTTGTTGCCAAATCATGCACGATGGCCATTGCCTAAGGATGTGTTAAAGTATAGCATCCTCTGCTTGTTGGCTTAAAATAAGGAGCTTGAAGACGATTGGTTCCTGCCTTGTTCCCCGTTTACAAGGATGATGTAACAGTGTTACTGGGATGTTTGAGCTTCATATCAAGATTAGAAGACAGCTGGCTTGTGATTATTCCTGTCAGCTGTTGAGATGTTGATGTTGTTTTCCTTAGGTGGACCAAATTTAATATTTAGTCTAAATAAGTAAATTATTGTTATTGCATCAGTATTTATTTACTGTACGTTGTCCACCAAACGGCCTTTTTGGCCATTTCTGTAGCTCGAGGCATAGCATAAAAAGGATTGATGGTTATGCACAGCATTGCCTACAATGAAGGTCAATATTGCACTCACAGACCGATACCTTTGTGGATATTCTGTCGCTTGTGACCGTTTAGCGAGTTAACTCAGGGTGTGTTAATAAAACATTTGTGTTGTATATCAAAAGATTCAGTACATGTTTGTGATGACCGTGTCAGCAATACTTGAATGTCATGCATGTTTTTGTCATATCAACTGATGATTATCATCATAGTGATTTTGTACAGTCATGTTTCAATGCAGTACAACAGAACTGGTTTTAATACAATTGATAGTATTGTTTCTGTAGTGATTGATGTTAAACGTAATGTTGTTGATTTACTACTACTTTACTACGCCAGTGCACGATGTGTTACAAAACTCCAACAGTAGAATCAAAATCAATGTGTATACTCTGCTGTGGTGATACGTTGTTTACAGTCTGATCATTTCATCTGTTTGGTTGCTGAATGTTTACAACACATATGCATGGAATTGTAATATGTTTGGAATCATCGAGTCAGTCTGTATCAAACACCATTGAAATGAATAGATAACGTCAAAACATGCTGATCATGTCAGTAAATGTATTTGTTCACCACACATACTGCACACTGGAAGTTGTCATTCACTGGACTTTGATTCTTTTACTTTTGTCATCAAAATGTACCCTATCAAAATAAAGTGCTCTAAAATACTAAACAAAAACAGTACAACTCCAACAATAATGAAAGTAGAACAATTCTATCCAACTGTTCATGTTTAATTAAAAAAAAGGTGTTTCCAAGAGTAATAGAAAAAACATTTACAGTTTGTGATCTAGTTAAGTGTTCACTTAGTGACATAGGTCGTCTCATACAACAGAAAGGCTCCACTTAAAAACAAAAACGATCCCTGGAATCACCATCCTGTCGTATTACAGAGGTAAACATAAAACCACGGAAATATGACTTTGAATGAAAGGTTGGGTTCCAGCATGTTTTCTTTTTTTCTCTCAGGTAACTTTAATTCAACAGCATTTTAATGCTAAACAAACAGTGTAGGGAGCTGTGGCGAGCACAGCGTCAGTTTCCAGCTCGGACATCGGAAGGTGTCCTGTGCGTCAGAGCCGAAGGATTTCTTCGCTCTCAACAAACAATCACTTTGGTTTCACCCTCTTTGACGTATTCCTATTATGCTGAGTTCAGTCTGCATTCTCAGTCATTTTCTCTTTTTGACTGCAATTATTTTATGTCCTTAGGAATGCAGTGGTCATTGAAAGGCAATTATTGTTCTGTTCTTCCTGGGATGTAACGCTGAGGTACAGGCTGTTCAAAATGCTGGAATATAACAAAAAAAAAAAAGAGAGAAACACTGATGTCAAAAGGCGATTGATAAGGGAAGAGGTCTGATGGGTTTGAGAGTGCCGTTAGTGGAGTGGTGTTTGACAAGTCTTCTTGGTAAATGCTGCCAATGATTGTGAGCAGAGTGGTGGACTGCATCTTTCGTTTTTCGTGAGAGAGAGAGAGAGAGAGAGAGAGAGAGAGAGAGAGAGAGAGAGAGAGGGAGCTCAGGAAAGGCTGAAGCAGGGGTTGGAGGTACTTTTGTGGGCAAAGTGTACCACGCCCCCTCAACCCCTCATACCCGCTCCTGAGTAGTGCTGGGAGCCGCCACGTCGCACATCCCTAAAGCCCTGAAGTTTAGCTGCACTTGCAGGACTTAACAACCATGTTGGAGAGCTGCTCGACTTTAGGGGAGCGACCCACGTAGTAGAGGATGGTGAGGGGCTCCAGGTCCTGAGGAACGCAGCAGGGTGAGGCGGATGCTTCGGGGTTCAAGGTGTTGTACAGGCTCAGCAGCTATGGCAGAAAGAGCAGAAGGAGAGAGGGATCAGCAATCACGTTTCCAAAATAGATCTGCAACTTTAATGCGCCGTGGCACTTTGTCTCACCGAGCTGTGGGTGGTGTCTGCGCTGCGTAGATAAGGACAGGGGCCGGAGCAGAAGTTAGCGTAGTACCCTTCAGGCTGATGGATCCACCTCCAGCCCAAATCCTGCCGGAAATTAATATATAGTGGTCGCACACAGCAGTTCTCCTCGTAATTGCTGCAAAGAAGAGAGGACAGAGAGGATTATTATACTCGCATCATTTCACAGATAATAAGCAATTTTAGCAGTTGTATACATTTTTTCTCCCTATGGGCCCACAGCCAGAGCTGAGAGTGAAGTTCAGGAATTCCACTCTTAGGTGTGCCCTTATTTTCCCTCTTGGAGTCAGCCCAGGTGTCTTTGGTGTTGCTTGTCAGCCTGACAGAGGAAATCCAGAGCTGAGGAGACAGCGTGTAAGAGGAGGTGGCGTTTGCTAGTTCTGGGACGGATTCAGACTTGTATCGGATAATACCTCTGTCATGCTCGTCTAGGTGATTAACAAGCTTATTCTGTGTGTTCAGTGCCCATGTACTCTTCTTCACTGCCATCTTTTTGAGCCGTGAAAGCTGATACCCCCCCATATCAAATCTCAAAAACTGAAGTGCAGGTGCAGCCAGAGAAATCTTACATTAATAACAGTCCAAGCCATTTTTCAGGGCAAGGAAATGGGCCTTACTTGAAGCAGTAATTGGTGTCAAGTGCCCGCTTACGCCTGCGGGAGGAGGATTGGACATCCAGCCGGTGGGGAGGGAGCATCATGAGGATGAGATGGGGGTAGAGCTGCTCCTTTTGTTTTTTCACACGGCTCAGATCGTCATAGTCTGCTTCCATACCTGTAGGAGACAGTCACTTAGTCTGCAGGGTACCAAGAAAAACTGCAGATTTATTGAGAATTGTAAAGATGTCTTCAAGAGCCGACTTCAGTGGAACCACATCTTCACTCTAATCTGTGTAGTCAGCTGTAACTTTTACAGGAGGATACTGTAATATCCAGGAAGGGCTTCACTCATTTTTGGCTAACTTTTCGGCCTTCTCCTCATTCAACACTGGTCTCTAACTTCCTCCTTTCCTCCGTTCTCCCCCCCTGGGCCTGCGTCTGCTCATCCAATCTGCCCCTGATAGCTAAAGCAGTGGATATCTCGGGAGAGATACTGCTGTTGGATTAGTACGCCCCTCTTTAATTCGGGGCCAAGCGTCTGAGCGCCGTGGCAGCACATTCCTTGTGGCCAAGCCAGTCGGGAGTGTTTCCCAGGGCCGAGGGCCCGGGGGCCCCAGTGCTAAGTGAGATACCAGATCGATTGTATTCCCATGCTCTGTGTCTCTCTCCACATCTTAGAAAGGAAACCCATTATCTTACCAACAAGACCTCAATAGGTAATTCTGCTGGAGGAACATGTTGATGACTGGATGAAAAGGACCGTATTGTGGATGTTATTGTATTATAACCACAAACCAGATTCACATTCATCGTAGCCAACGCTGCACTAGACTAGAAAATAAGAGACTGAATAAACGCCTCAGGTAGCTTTCATTTGGCAATAAATGCAATGAAACAAAAGGCCTATTGAGCAAATTAGAGCTTAATCTAAAATATTTATACTTTTATCAAATCCTCTGCCATTTGTATAAGTAAAGTTTAGAGTTAACCTCTGCCAACATGGCAACAGTAGTTACAAGTGGCAAATGCATGCCATTTGCCACTTTTAATATGATAAATAATAGCTAATATGTAGATGTAAGTTTGACATTTTAGAGGTTTATTCAAGAAGTTTGTCAGTTATCTGACAAACTTCTTGAATAAAACTGGTCCTGAGACCCATTTATGCAAATCATTCTAAAACCAGCACTGCCTCAATAGCAATACTCAGAATGAAACACATTTTCATCTAACAGGAGATACCTCTCTGGAACATTAGACAACTCAAATAAATCAAACAGAAGTAAACTTGTTATCTACCTCTTGACAATAATATAAACTGGCAGAACATTTTTTCACTGTGAGAGATCAAAAGCAGAGAGGAATCCAGTCCAGATACCAACTTAACGACCACAGCCTGGCCATAGGACACTCTAAAATGCTTGTTAGCTTCACAACAGGTGAGATTGAGACTGAGCTGTGCTCTTAAAATGGGAAAAACCTAATCAGAGTTCAATACTCAAAGACACTGGAGTTTTTGTTTCCTGATTTTACAAAATGTGATGAGAACAGAAAACATTAGACGAATCCCGGAGAGAGATATTAAAAGGAAAAGCTCGACATTTTGGGAAATATGTTTATTTGCTTTCTGTCTGTAAGTTACACGAGAAGAGGGATACCATTCTCTGTCTGTAGGCCTATATTGGCAAGAAAACAAGTGTAAAGTGTATTTCCCCGAATATCAAACTCTTCATTTAACTTCACATTATGTAGTTTCGTGCCGTAAACTGAGGAGCAAACATCCCACTGAATTTGACAGCTAAGAATCATGACTCAGCTATCACTATCTATTCAACTGTAACCATTACCATTGTTGAGTTTTATTTTTTGGAACTTATTTCTCATTTAAATGGTATCCCTGCTCTTTTTTTATTCATATTATAATATTCCCCACATAGGTTTAGATATACAGTATGTGTCTGATTGCCAAATTGAAACCTTGGCAGTGTTGTTTTCAACAACTTCATGATACCTAAATTTAAATTTAAAGAAGTTTTGGGAAAAACAACAAAGGTCGCTGATGCAAATCCAAACCATCTAACTTTCTTTCACATCATTGAGGTATTAAATGCAGTCTCACCTTTGAACTTGACCTCGAGCACCTCATTGGCGTTCTCGATAATGTCACCATTTGGCCTGAACGTGTGGCAGGGACAGTGCACGCTGATCTCCAGGCCAAGATTGGTCTCTGTGGAGGAAACAAGAGCAGAGGGATGTAAGGAGCTGACATTTTCCCCTCAGGCCGATATCCTTCATTTTGAATGAGCCCATGCTTTTTTGGCAGGATATGCATTGAGGTGCGATGCAAGGAAAAATTGGGGTGTCCCACTCACGTCTGTACATCAGCCACTCTCTCACTGTCTCTGTAACATCAAAGGAGACCCACTCAGGAGTTCCCTTGGTCAGGACATTCTTGCCCCCAATGTAGCGCTGTTTGGCTTTGGGGTCGTCTTTCTGGAGGATCTGCAAGGAAAAGATGAAAATGTGACCCAGCTGCATAAACTCTCTTCCTTTCACACACACACAGAACCAGAGCTGTCTGTCTGAGCCAGACTCTCCAGGATGCCTTGGGCCAAATGTCTACTCTTCATGGAAAAAGTGACTCCCTGTGTTGATATCCCCATTTTCAAGTTAATGCCTGCGTGTTACCCTCCTGCCAATGAGAACCTGGCTGTCCTTCACATCAGCAGTTCAAAGTTACACTTCAGCCGGGCTCCCTAGATGCAGTTTCAAGACGTTCAGAAAAAAAGCATTGTTGCCAGGTATATCCGTGGGCATTCGTGTGTTATCATGTCGAGGCCCCAAATGTACAAACCTGACGATGGAGGAAAATGCAACAGTGTGGTCCAGACATTCCTATCTCCATCAGCACTTCTCTCAACAAAGGTGTTTATCTGTGGTGAGAAATGTGTGTGTTTGGGTGGTGAGCCCCACAGCAGTGCTTTGAATAACCAGGTTCCTG